GCTGCCTTATATAATGGCACTGATTGTAGCTCAACTTCCTCAAGAATTTGGCATCCATTTATAATATTTTTAGAAAAATTAATTTTTATTTATTTTTTTCCCCCTCACCATAGGGGTAGTTGATCCCCACACAGAGTACAAGTCTGGAATGCATCCCTTCTGCTGCCTATGTTTTTACTAACATTTCTTCTCCAATGCATTGTCCAGAAGCTATAGAGAAGGAATAATAAAAAAATGTTTATTTGCAGGTCACATCCGCAAATATTTAGCTATAATCGCAACCAGTAATCATCCTACAGTCCAATAATTAAATGGAAAACAGATATCTGGGACATAGCTTATGAGCGGAAGTGCAAGTTAATTTTAAGGGAGTGAGGGAAAAGGGTTTCCAGCAGCTGCTGGGCCTTAGTTTAGAGTTTCACCCAGCAGAGAATAGAGTTTATTTTAAGAATGTGGATTTTCATTTAGCTGCTTAACTACCCTTCAAAATTGTTGAGACAGTGCTGCCCCTCTCTCATTACTTCATAGGTTAAACCAAGCACTCTTCCAAGGTGTGACATCTACTTCCAGAAGCAAGGTTATGAGTTCATCATTGAAAATGGAAAGATTGTGTTAAATAGGAGCAAGAAACGAAGTGTAAGAAAATCTGGACTGGAACAGGTAAATTGGTACTTGAATAGTTACTTAAGATTACACTGAATACTAAAATTTTATTTTGCAACAGAGAGCAAGGAAATGTCTGAGCACATGGGATTCACAGTCCTAGACGTTACAATCCTGACACAAATGAAATCAACTTTTTTAGTACACAGTTGCGCCGGACATTTTATAATTCACACCAACAGGTTTGCTCTGCTATGTCCAGTGCCATTGTAGACTCAGGTTCAATGAATTATTTAGAAGAGAAGAGCCTCTGTGAAAAGTAAAATCTTTTTTCGTTTGTTTTGCTTGCAAGACATTTCCAACATATTCCATTTTCCAACAAGTTTACCAAGTCATTAGCGTTATCTAGTGCATTTAAATGCTGTCAGCTTTGTCATTGTAAGTATTGGTATTTATTAATTAAGCTTATACTGAAAAGCCCAGCCATGTATGAAATCAAGCTTAATCTCTTTAAGGTTTGCAATTTGAATGCTTGGAGATGCCAAATCTACAGGAATGGATGGATTATTCTAGTCCCTCTCATTGCTGTTGTTGCAAAGCTGTAGGAAACTTTTCTTTATATGTGACCCTAAACATCCTACATTTGGGAGAATTCTTAGATTGTCAGTCTTGAGCTTGTTCAGAAAATGAGGCTGACTGATGGCTGAAATAAGTAAACAACATGGCAAAAATATTTCCTTTCTTTTTTCTGAGGTGGTTTGGCTTTTTGTAATTTGACTCTGTGTGTTGTTGAAAATGTCAGTATGTCTTTTCAGGGTGCAATGGAGTTCGGACAGGACTCGGCTGTGGCTGTGGTTTTCAGGCAGCCCAGTGCCAGTCGGTCTGTCACATGGACAGGACCCGGCTTTGCACGTGTTCCCAATGGATCTGGGCTGAGCTTTGCCATCAACAATGTTCCCTTTGCTATGGACTTCGATATCACGATTCGTTATGAGCCTGAGGTACTTATGATGTCTCGTGTGTCTTATGATGTTGTGATAGATGCAGGGTCTATTTTGTCAATAATAGGATGCAGCAACTTCTTCCACTCTTTATATTTAAAATTAAAGTTGTTTGCCTTTTCATCCTTATCAACCAGGTAACATACCCTCCACTGATCCCCTTAACCCTTTCCACTCAAATCTGAAGAATCATCACTACAAGTGTTTTCTAAGCTTCAGCCAAGATTTAATCTTCTGGAGTTCCTGTATTGGTACCTTTGCTTGGGCTGGACTCTTGTTCACTAATCAGACACACGCAAAATGCAGTTCCTTTTAGATGGGCATCCTGTATTTCTAATTGGGATTTTCTGGGCATGAAAATGTGCACAGGCAGAAGTGATCAGAGTAGGTATTTATCCAGGGCTTTTGCAGACATCCAGCTTCCCAGTTGCTCCAGCTGGGCTCTGAGATGTGTGAAAATGGTAGGAAAATAGCCAAAACCTTATTTTTTGCCTGGAAAAAATTTCTCAATGATGAAGGCATGTCTAGCAAAATCTGTGAACCCAAATGTGGTTAAACCCAACTCCGCACCCATGTCTTCAAAAACACAGGCAAGTGTTTTATTGGTATTAGTATTTGTACATGCCTTGCTCTTTTGCTTTGCAGCTCCCTGAGACAATCCCACCACTCAAGATCCTCCTTCTGCCCATTCTGTTCTCTTACAGTCATGCTGAAGCAAACAAAACTCCCAGTGTCTTAAAACGTGAGAACAATTTTGCAGTGGGCTGGTTTGATGTAGCTTTTTCCTTCTAAGGATTAGATGAAACACTTGAATTTTAAAGACTTTTGTTACAAAGTCTTTTATGTTTGTTATTCCTTATTAGATGTGAAAGAAGGCAGATAATGAAGGATATTTCCAAGACAACGCTGTGCTAAGAAAGGCAACAACTCCAATGGCTTTAACAGAGCTGTTTCCATTTGCACCAGCTGAGGTCCCATTTCCGTCTCTGCTCTTCAATTAGCCATTGCAAATGCAATGCGTTTTTCACAAATAACATATTTTTTTTAAGTCCTGTAAAGAACAAAGAGAAAATCTATTTTGTCACTGCAGTGTGCAATCATTCAGATGGCTTTTGTTAACCCTGGCAAAGAGAAAGAGGGATATGAAAAATCACCATAAGTTTTGTCCTTTGTTTATAGTCCTTGGAAGACTGGCTAGCAAGTGTTACCATCCAGCCCACTGGTATTTTGTCGAGTCAACGCTGCAAAAACAAGGGCCTTTCACAGGAGCCACATGTGTTGCCTCTTCCAGCTACAAAGAGGTCTGACTATTCCCGTCCTTTCGCCTGTAGATTTTCTGTGTGCAAATCTTTTACTGAAGCACTGCAGAGCGATAAATGTGTGGGAAAGTGGGAATATTAGAAACACGTGTATGACCTTGCCTGTTGCTGTCACACCACAATACCACGTAGGCTCTAAGGAAGAGTGATGGTCCAATCTTCATCATGGCAAAGGTTTGCCCAAGCCTGAGATTCTGCTGGGGTTAGTTCTTGCTTTGGCAAAGATCCAACTGCAGTTATTTCAGTACAGAAAGGAAATAATTGACTTAAAGTCACTGTCCTAGCCTGTTTTCAGAACCTGCTTTTCAGCTTGGACCTATGTAAAAAATAGGGAGGAGCCAAGAGGATGTGATCGAAGTCTTGATCAAACAGGGACAGGAAAGCACAAATATGAACAGTGAGTTGCAAACTCCTTTGCCTGAAGGAGTAAAATCTACCATTTTCTGTTTAATCTCACCAAGTTTAAATTGTGCTTGGTGAATCATCCAGGCAGAAGTCATGCAGCTTTCCCAAAGCCTGCAAGCAAAGGGGCTGGGTGTGCCCCCTGCAGCATCAGGGCTTGCTCAGGGCTGCACGCACTAGGATGCAGGCACAGAGGGGAGGGAGAGCTCACAGCACCCTGTAAACTTGCCTTGTCCCAACTCTCGGCTATAACGGTGCTTTATTTCTGCTAAACAGGATTGCACTTCTGCAAACTCCAGTCTGTCTGGAGCCAGGAACAGAATATTCTGTGGATGTGTACTTCTCTCAGCCCTCTGCCTCTGACCCAAAGGCGAAATCGTTCATCTTGATTGACTCAGTGAGTAATTCTGTCACAATTTCCTTGAGGCTGTATTTGTACAAGTGTGATTTTTTTTTTTACACAGACTTACTCAAAATATTTTAAAATCATAGTGTGTTTTAATAGAAATTCATCAAAGTGTGCTTCTTCTTACCTCTGTTGGCACTGTGTTTGCATGGTTTTGTATAGAAAGACAGAATTGTATCTGTTTTAATTTTCATAAAGCACTACCATAATAGCTCATAAATTCATACTTGTTGCATATGTTAATAGTCAGAATATGTTTCTCTATCTGTTGCTCATTTATTATGAGTGCACTCCACATATGCTGACAAGATGCTGTGGTTAAGGATATAAATTCATGCAGCTCTTCATCACTTTTTTTTCTTTTAACCTCTATAATTTGTCTGAATCTAATTAAAAAATCATGGATATATTTAAAGATGACAAAAGAAAAGTAAAATTAGTTCTGTACTTTCCCAGGAATCAAGTCCAGACATTTCCCAAGTTTCTACCAGGTCAGAAACTGGGTGTTAGTTTTGGGTCCTTTTCTCGAGAAAAATGTTTTTAAGTCCATTCCTCTAATTACTTCTGTAGAACTGGACCGGACAAGGGCTGGCCATACTTGGACATAGAACCTTCAGCAGATTTTTCTCTGTCTCAGTAATAGAAGCAAAAATTTTGGCCAGATACTGCTTTTGGAGTCATCAGCATGGCACCTCATAGAAGCAAAAACAGTTCTGAGCATATATCTGAGGTCTTACTATAATCTGACGCTTTCATACACAGTCTCTTTTATTTTAAGAACTTGGGGAATGTCTAAATCTTTAGAATAGATGTGAATTTAGATGACTGAGCAGCACAATGGCAGATTTAGGAACGCGGTGCTCCAGGCCTCTGTCCTTGCAATGCAGAGCACAGTAAGAGAATGTGGGAAATTTGTTTTTCAGTGTATCTAAGCAAAAATATTTTCTTTTCCCTCTTAACGCCAAAGCTTGGACTTATTCCCAGAATTGGCTCTGTGGAGAACTTATGCAGTGAAAAGGATTTAGATGAGTACCAGAAGTATCACTGTATTGAAATTGCATCAGAAGTTGGACCTCACATCCTCCCCGAAGTGTGCACACGGCTCATAGCGAGCATGTCAGCACGCATTCACAACGGTGCCGTCGGTAAGGACCAGCCTGCACGGGCAGCTCTTCTGGTCAGTTACTGGTTTTCCTTTGAGTTTGTTGGATACGTTGACTGGAGAGCTCTCAGCCCATGCTGGTGTAGGCAAGTGAAGCTGATCAGCA